AATCCTAACCTGAACTGGATCTTATGGAATAAAATCCATGAAGATATTTCAATGCATGATAAATATTCTAAAAATCTAAGAAACAACCTATTCCTTAAATTCCAACTAAAGAGAGCATTCCTGCATTTGGTCATCTGACTGCTTCCAAGTTCTCAGTGCTGAGTTCTTTCAGTCAACAATTACTCAGAGCCACAAGGCACTTGATCAGTGGACAGATGACTATAAGCGAAGTAAGACTGGAAACATTCAACTTCTTAACTGCCAAAGACAACGTAAGAAATAGGTCTCCTATTAATGTACCATGACTTGCTTACTGACAAAGTTAGCTTTTCTTTTGGTGAACTGAAAAACAAGTATTGAAAAAAAATCTGTTAGCTGAAGGTGTGCTCTGATGACATAGTCTTTGTCAGAGTAGTCATTCATGATGATAGAAATACAGGAAATAGAGAAGCGAATTCCAGGATGTCTGATGAAAGTTCCAGTTTAAAAGTATCACATCCCCAACTCAAATGTATAAGAAGTGCTGGAGAACACAAAATATGTGTAAGGAGATTTCTGACAAGTTTTCCTTGAAATATTTCATTAAAAAATTTTTTTTAAACAAAAGCATGAACATATAGTTAAGTCTCCTTTTTGGTAATTTGAATATACCAAGTATATTTTTGCCATTAGGCCTCCAGGCTGTTCTCTGCCTTAAATGCCTTCATCACCCCCAAATCCGTGCCTCCTTATAGTCCAGATTACATTTCACCTCTTCAGGGAAGCCTTCTTTGCCAACCTAGGCAGCCATTCACTCACTCTACGATATCACCATGTTTTAATCGTCTGCATAATCACATCACTGTCTGATATTTTTCTTATTTTTGCTTGCTCGCTCCACTAAACAGAAAGTTCTGTAAGAACAAGACCTTCACTGGCTTTTCCACCATTTTACCAATATCATTTTATCAATAATATAAGCACAAACTAAGTGCTCAAATATCTGTGCTATATTTAACAAAGTAACTTTCCTTAATTATATATATTCAGATGGAAGTATAACATGAAAAGTTTTTTTTTTTTAAAGATAAATCTTAAAGGTTATATATGGCTTTCAAATATGATTTGTATGTATAGAGGACTACATATAAGTGAATGATGGTTAGTGAAGGTGCCACATTTTGAAGTTACTTATAAAGGCACTTAAAAAGCGTCTGGCCTTCCTGTAGTAGTTCCTACTCCATAAGCGTTTTAGTGTTACTATCGCCTCTCACACAAATGAAAAACAAAAGTCTAAACAGATATGCCACATTACAAATTCTACAAGCATGGACAAAGTTTTGTCTTGCAGTCCCTATAATGCCTAAGACACATATCAGCAACATAAATACTAGCCAGCTGGTTTTTTTTTCTTACAGGGTAGAAAAATTAAAGGCAATTTGTGTAATATGGAACTTGACTGAATACTCAACTTACCAGAATAAAACCTGAAAATTAAAAAGTACTGACTTAAACTTGTTTTAGATGAGGCCTCCTCTGGGTCAGATCAAATGACCCACTGAATTAAGAATCCTTTCTGACCTTGGTACAAAGGTGCAGTTTATAGAAGAGGCATTAGATTTCCTTGAAATATTTCATTATAAATTGAAGACTATTCCATTACTCTTCAACATTTAGTCATGTACCTCAAACACTCTGGTCTTCCATAAATTATCATGGTGTAGCACTAATACACTCACATTTAAAAAACAGGGATTCAAGTTGTACACCTGATTTCACTTGTCCAAAATTATCTTTCAAGCTACAAGCCCTAACATTCTGGAATTTGGTAAGGAACTCTCTAGTTCCATGAAGACAACCTTTAGGATTTTAGAAACGATTGTTCCCTCTTTTAGTTTGTGCCTTTCCACAGTTACCTTTCTTAGACTGCACTGTCCAAAAGACCAAGTCAACATTAACAATTTTGACTGTCAGGTCATTGGGTGCCAAGCCTAAGTATTTCAGGTACATACCTATTTCCACAGCTCATTGAACAAACTGCCAACTAAAACAGGATTATCAAGATATTAAAAGGTATAGTTTAAAGATCTTGCCAAAGCAATTAATCCACAGTTAGCCATTATCCACGAGCAGCCATTATCATCTGATAATGAAGAACCAGTGCTACAGATAAAGTCTTTACAAAGCTGCCCAAGGGGACCTAGGTAAACTTTTGATATGCTCTATGCAGGGAATGTTTATTCTTCCGTGTGTGTGTGTGTGTGTGTGTGTGTGTGTGTCTGTGTGTGTTTTGGCATTAAAAGGAGGGAGGGGCCACTATATAAGAATACACTTATTAGAACTGAAGAATGCACTACAAATTCTCAGAGAGAACCAGTTAACATCTGTTGTATGTATTTCCTCATAATGACCTAATTTTTTAAACTGACAAGTCACTATAGTTTAAATGACGGTACAGGCTCTAACCAAGGTTAAAATTAGTATGGTTTAGAGAAAGTGACTCTAACTCAGCTAATGAGTTCCTTCCCCCTTCCAAATCATTTAAAAAAAATCACACGTTGCTCTAACATCACAAGCTCTAGAGTATAAGACAACCTGGGTCTGAAGGCAGACTCTGCCACACCTTGGATGTGCAACTTCACCTCGGTAAATCTTAATGCCCTCATCTGTAAAATATGCGTAAGAATATTTACTGCCAGGTGGGGTTGCTGTGAGGACACTCATTGTAAAGTGCTCAGCACCCTGACTGGATGTAATAAGCACTCAAATATTAGTTATCATTACCAGCATCATCAGATTCCAATGGTCTGTCCTTAAACTAATCGTTTAGTGGGAGACACATCTAATGCTGTTTCCTCATTAGTTATGTTCCACTAATCCTGCTCTAAGCCACATTCTCCCCCTTGCATGTCTGCTTAACTTATCACAGTTCACAAAAGCTTTACTATCCTACTAACCTATAAAAAGGATATTTTTACTACACAGTATGACTTTAGTCTTGGCAATAACCCACCAGGAAAGCACAACTGAAGTTCAATCTAACCTTTATTTACAGAAGTACCAGGAGTACATATACTTATTTCTAAAGACATTTCTGAAGATTCGTGAGCATTCACTTTAACTGATATTTTAGAGAAAATGAAAATTTAATTATTTTAAAATTTTTTTAAAAGATTTATTTGTTTGAGAGAGAAAGTGCATGTGAGTTGGGGGGAGGGAGGGAGAGAGAGAATCCCAAGCAACTCCCCACTGAGCGAGAGCTGGGGCTTGGGCTCGGGGCTCAGGGCTCAATCTGGGGACCCTGAGATCATGACCTAAGCCAAATCAAGAGTCGGATGCTTAACCAAATGAGCCACTCAGGCACCCCAAAAAGTTTATTTAAAGAAAATGGTTCCTGTATTTTAAATATTTTGTTACATGAACAATTCCAGTCCCTGAGACTGAATAGTCTACAATTCACTTGATAGTTCATTTTTCAAAATCAAATAGCTATTCCCATAAAAATCCCAAGAAACTGTAAAGGGTACAAAGCCAAGTCTCTGCCTAAGTACCTTATTATCTAATAGAGTGTCTCTAATTTGAAGATCCCTGAAAAATTCTTTTACCTTTTAAAAAGGTTTGTAACTCAAACTAAAGTATGAGAAACACTGCTCTAATTGGAAGAGGTCATAGAAACCCCAATGTCACGTGGGTGATTTTCAACTGGTACTATCAGGACCCTTTCCATCACACCATAAATACCCTAAAAGACTCTATGGCAATACTGTGTGTAGTGCCTTATTATATGTAATTATCCTTTTATGCTACAGCAGTCAGAACATGAAAAGTTCTGAACATGAAACAAAGTTTCATCCTTTGTTGAGGTGGGGGGATGTAAGAAGGCAAGGATTCTTTCCAAATGAGGTATGTGTGTGAGGAGAAGCTGAAAGGGGACATACAAAAGGATGGAAATGGGAACGTTCAAGGAGTGTCTGGGGACTGGACAGCAAGTGTTTAAGAACATGGCCAGTCATGAGGAAGGAAAGGTGACTGAAGACTTGAGCTGCAATACCAAGAGGAGGCTGAACCTTATCGTACTGCTGAAGACTGGGGCGGGGGGGGGGGTTGTTTTTTAAATAAAATGATGTGAGGGAAGAACTGCTTAATAAGATTTATCAGGGTGCAAGGTCCAGATGGACTAGAGGGTGGAGACTGATAGGAACAATACCGGTTATTACAAAAGTCCCTTATGAGGTAAGAACCTGAACTGTGATGAAGTGGTTATAAACACCCCTTTCTTTGGGGGCGTGTCCAAAAAAATTCATAAGCCACCTTTTGTTGAAAGTGAACTCATTGCTTTCAAAATCTTTTGACATCTGAATCCTATTTAACCAGGGTTTATGATCTCAGGTTACTCACGCCCAGTGACCAAAACAAATACACCGATTTTCTTGGGCAAAGAATTATTTGGCTTATCAAGTTGAAACCTTTCAGTTTTCTGGGCTGGTAACCGGCCAACCAGTTCTCCACACACAAAGAGCTGTAAGTCAAAATCCCTCAGCCCAGAGTCGCTAGCGTCCCCGCGGAGCGGCACCGTTTGCTCACACGCCTCGGGGCGGCCCCTGGAGCTGTGGGGGCTCCGGGCCCTGACAAAGAAAGCGGAGCCTGACCCTTTGGGGAATATCCTATTTCGAGCCTGAGGTCCTGAAAGAATCTGCAGTGAGGGCTCTCAGTCGAGCAGGCTGTTCCAGCGGGAGGGCTGGGGGACGCGGCCCAGCCTCACGGCCTGGAGCCCCGGGCGCGGAGCCAGCCGGCCGAGGACTCAAGCCCCAGCGAGGAGGCCGCCGGGGGCTTCCCTTCACCGCCCTCCGTCCCAGCCCGAGAGCGACCTCGCGAAGAGACCTCCGCCGCCAGGGCCCAGTCGCCGCCGAGCTCGTCACCGCTGCCCCCGCAGCGCCGGGCCCCTGGAGCGCCTCAGTGGAGGCCTCCCCTGGGCCTCGCCGCCGGCCCCTCGCCCTTCCCCGCCCGTCGGCCCCGCTCACCCAGAAGATGAGGTTGAGAAACACCAGCACGGTCTTGGAGGAGGTGATGCCGCACTGACCCATGGTGCCGGCGGCCCGCTGGGGCCCTGCTCGGCGAGCGGGACGCGCTCACCGAGCGAGGCGGCAATGGCGGCGGCGCCTCTCCACTGGGAATTGCACGGCCTGCGCGGCGCTCACCGCAGCCCCCAGTGCGGTCGCGCAGCCCCAGCCCCAGCAACCACCTCGCTTCTTCGCGCAGCCGCCGCAGAGCCCCAGGCTCCCCGCGCCGCTCCCTGGCAACCGAGTCCCGCCCCCGACAGCTTCAGCCAATCACCCCCGCGGCAGCTACAAGCGAGGCCGCGCCTCTTAAAGGAGTCGAAGATTCAGCTCCAGTTCTTGGCCTCTGGCCGCCCCTGGACGCATAGGGCTTTTCAGGGAAGTTCCAGAGCAACAAACCCACTCCCCTCCTATTGAGCTAAGTTTACTATGCCAGGCTTATGGATGATTCAGAGCCCGCAGAACGCTGTCTTTCTGCCTAGTCCATTCTCCCCTAAAGAGGTCGGAGACCGGAATCTCTCCCACTTCACGTCGTTTTTCCTGACAAGGTAGCACTTGTTTGGGAGAAGTGCAGTGAACACCAACAAATATTTATGGAAAACTTATTGTGCCAGGCGCTAGGCCAGCTCTCAGAACAGTCATCAGAAAGGAGAAAAGGCTGCTGACGGCGTTAGCAAGGCAAATTCGTGTGCACAATGAAGTCTGTGTGGGTGGTTGGGCTGTGGCAAGGTAACAAGTAGGGTAGGACACTTTGGGTCAAGACTTGGAATGGTTACAGAAACGTCTCCCCCCCGCCCCCCCCATTGCCACATTTCACTCTCTTCCCACAATCTTGGATTGATCATAGTAATTAGCACTTACTGAGAGCTTACCGCCTATCACACTCTTTCTGGCTACTAGCTCATTTAACCCCCATCACAACCTTGGAGGGTACTATGCTTATCAGCCTCATTTTACTGTTGGGAGAATTGAGACTTAGAAAGATTAACAAGCTTGCCTGGACCAACACAGAGTGGGTGGTCTAATGCAGAAACCACAGTCTCTCCTGCTGTTACAACCCTGTGCTTCCTCCTCAGTCAGGCCCTTCAGGATGCCTGTTTATTTGTCCTTACTCACCTTGTTCTTGCTCAGTCTCCCTAGCTCATCACCTTCCCCAGGCACACTCGGCAATACCTTTGCATCTCAGCATCCCGTTCATTTGCACCAGGTAGCAGCTGCCATTTATTCACTCCAGACTTTTTACAGGTGCACCTCAGTGCCTCACTGTTCCAGGCGGTGGGTTTTCCACAGGGAGCAGGACAATGGAGCTTGCATTCGGGTAGAGACGGCAGACCTAAACAAATAGGCAAGTAACTTTATGGACTGATGTTGGGCAATAATGGAAAACAATTCAGAGGACGGGGATTGAGAGTGACAAGGGAAGTCTTCTGTGAGGAGAGTACACTGGAGGAGATCTGACTGGAGTAAGGAAGCGGGCCATGTGACTATCTGGAGGAAGAACAGCCCATAGGTGAGGATGGCAAGTGTAAAGGCCCTGAGGCAGGAATGCGATGATTAGGAAAAGGAACACTGAAGAGCCTGGTGTGCTGGAGGTCAGTGGAGAGAAGAGAATAAAGTCACCAAGTGCCTAGTAAGCCATGTGTGATGGATGGGAAGATACAGCAAGACTCTGAGCAGGCCAATAACACCATCTGCCTTAAAGTACTATTCTTGCCACCACGCATGTCTTAGCATTTAAGAAAGCAATCAATCATGGCTCTCAGGTATGATTCCCTCTGAGCGACTATCTCCTTGCTGGTCCCCACCCTCTAAAAATTTCTCTCTCTCTCTCTGCTTTACTGTTATTGCTTTTTCTCCTTCTCCAAAATATCTCCTTTGCATTCTTCATCCCTTCCTTTCCCATTTCCCTGAGGAGGCCTTCATCCATTTTTCACTCCCTGGTGCCTGCACCTCCATCCTGCCCTTCCTTACTTGTGCCTTCCCCTCAGGTAGGTCTCCACCCCCATCCCACATGCCACACAGCTTTCCCAAGGGTAGGCCTGAGGAAATTCGTCATTTTAACAGCACCCCAGGGCTTCTAATGTGCCGCAGGAGTTCCAAACCACTGGTCTCAGTCTATAAATATGCTCCAGGCTCTCCAACCTAAAAACAAACAAAACTTTCACTTAATGCTGTGTTTTTCTTTCTCTCTCCTCAACCAAAGTTCCTGAAAGGTCATCTAGTCCAACGCTTCTCAGACTTCAGTGTGCACACGAATCACCTGAGGAGCTTGTTAAACTGCAGAGTCTGATTCAGAAGATAGGGCTGAGGCTCGAGGTTCTGCATGTCTAAAGGGCTCCCAGGTGGTGTCAGTGCCGCTGGACCACTCTTTGTAGGGAAGAGCTGGACTTCTGGTCTTGACTCTCTTGCTTCCGACTCACCGTTTCACTCATTGCCATGTGGCTTCACCCCACAGCACCGCTGAAATCTGTTCCCATCGATGTTACCCATGAGCCACCTGTTACCTCTTCTCTGAAGCAGCATATATAATGGTGAAGAGCATGGACTTGGGAACCAGATCTCCTGGGTTCAAAATACAGCCCTCCCACTTACTAGCTGGGTGGTCTCTCTGTGCCTCAGTATCCCCATCACAGGGAGGGAATGATGACACTAACCCCCACCTGCCTCACGTGGTGGTCTCGAGAATTAAGTGATTTAGTACATTGAGAGCTGTTAGGACACCGCCTGGCACACAGGTGCTTCATAAGTGTTGGTGTTTTTCATTTTGCAAGACCTCCCAACAGCATTTGACTCCACTGACTCCTCCATGCTTAAAACTCTCTTCTCCCTTAGCTTCCAGAACACAACTCTCCCTTTGTTCTCCACCTACCTTTACCTGCCTTGCCTTCCTGGGATGACGATGTTCCCTGGGGTTCTGGTTTAGGCTCTTTGATTTTTCTCAACCCACCTGGGCTCGGTGGGTAACCCACCTTAGCCAGTGGCTTCAATTCAGTTACTAAGTGTGGAACTCTCCTGAATCTAGAGCTTCATCCCAGGTCTCTCAGGTTCCTATCCACATATCTGCCTGCTGCAGGGCTCCGTGTAGGTTCATTAATTCATTCAACATGTTTGTTTTGCTTACTTACTCTGTGCCTGATCCTATGCCAGGTGCTGGGAAGGTAGCAGTGAAGTGGTTAGACCTGGGCCAAGACCTCCAGGAGCTCACAATCTGGAATGGAGATCCAATACTAATTCTGTGATTATTGATTAAAGTGCAATTGGGATAAGCAATGCAAAGGAGAGTTGCGGGCTGCTATGGGTGTGTATAATGGGAACACTGACCTTGTCTGGGGGTGACTCATATGTTCTCCAGACTAAGCGTGTCCCAAACCAACTCATCGCTTCCCCCAAACCTACCCCTCCTCTGCCTGTGTTGTTTCGCTCAATGAACAGCACACCCATCATCTTATCCAGTGTGTCATGATCCACACTATCCCTTGCTGATCCTTCTACCCACTGGGAGACTCCTCCTTTCTAGAAAATTAGCCTTCTCAGGTAACTCCTGGCACTCTATAAATTCCTACTGCCCAGTTCTTAAGCAGTCTGATTTTACTGGTAAAGTTGTACCTAGAAAAAAAGCAAATGAGGGGTGAGGTTCATCCCCAGAAACACAGACTCACTGTGTGTCCTGTGGCCCCTGACCATGACACACCTGGCTGGGGGACAAAGGGCAGACGGAGTACTTGTGCCTTTTCTCACTGATCCTTGGCTTATGACTTCCCCCAATAAACCCTGCTCTTTAATCCATACTGTGTGAAGTAAAATGCATTCTGATCCACATGATATGACACAAAGTGTCTATGTTTTATCAAAAAAGGAAAAAATTATTATTTCCATTATAAAAGCAATGCCTACTTATGGTGATTAGTGTCTTTATTAGACCAGCTCTACCCTCTGATTTGGGACATTGCAAATAATAATAATAATAATAATAATAATATCTGAGTGTAGTGGACATTTGTCTTTTTTTGAGCTATCCCACATTTGAACACCCTCTCAATTTGGAAGGATCCCTACCATATGAACCTTGTAGGAAGCCCAGGCAAGAGCCAGACGGTCCTCCCTGTGCTCGGGCAGCTAGAACATGGGCACATGATTATTGTTAGTGAATCAGATGATCCTGCCCAGAAATCTGGACCATGAGAGAGTGACATAAAGACACAGGGACAGTTAGACAGAATATTTGTTATAGTATTGCAGCCACCAGGAGTCCAGCAGCAGTGTTGGCTAGGAGTGCCTGGTGGCAGTCCCAGCAACAATCTCCTAACCAAACCATTGACCTTGGTTTGACCTTGGTTGGGTTCTCTTCTACTAAGCCTTCCTTGCTTCCAAAAGATCCTGAGAAGCACCTAATGTTCTTACAATAAATCCTTTACTGCTTAAGGTGGCTGGAGTCAACTTCTGTTGTTTATAATCTAGAATATTTTTTTAAAGTTTTATTTATTTATTTATTTATTTATTTATTTATTTATTTATTTCAAGAGTATGTGCAAGCAGGGGGAAAAAGGCAGAGGGAGAGGCAGAGAATCTCAAGCAGGCTCCATGCTGAGCGTGAAGCCCAACGTGAGGCCCTGATCCCACAACCCTGAGATCATGACCTGAACCAAAACCAAGAGACAGATGCTTAAACAATTGAGCCACCCAGACACCCCTATAATCTAGAATCTTGACTGATACAATGATTGCTACAGAAAACTTATAAAGTTGTAAAAAGTTAAAGGAAGAAAAAAACTCATTGCTCTACATACAGAAAACAATTACTATTAACAACTTCTTCCAGTCTTTTACTATATATACATATTTTGACACAGTTACGATTACATGATTATATAAAACTTTATATACTCTAAGCTGATTTTAAAATTGTATGATTTAGGGCTCCTGGGTGGCTCAGTAGGTTAAGCATCCAACTCTTGATTTCAGCTAAGGTCATGATCTCGGGGTTGTAAGATCAAGCCCTGGTTTGGCTCCATGATGGGCAGGGAGCCTGCTTAAGAGCATCTGTCTCCCTCTGCCTCTCCCCTGGTTTCTAAAAAAAGGGGGAGGGCACCTGGGTGGCTCAGTCGTTAGGCGTCTGCCTTCGGCTCAGGTCATGATCCCAGGGACCTGGGATTGAGCCCCGCATCGGGCTCCCTGCTCGGCGGGGAGCCTGCTTCTCCCTTTCCCATTCCCCCTGTTTGTATTCCCTCTCTCGCTGTCTCTCTGTCAGATAAATAAATAAAATGTTTTAAAAAAAATTATATGATTTAAAAGGTGACATATGGCTTCCGGT